GAGGGTGAGGATGAAGACTGCTAAGTTCTCGGGAAGCCTGGTCTCTTCCCATCCCCACCTTGCCTTAGACCTTCCCCTCCTCCTAAGGCCCAATTCCTAAGGCCTCCTCCAGGCAGACACCAAGCTTGCAGTCATCCACACTCCAACACACACACTTCAGTGGGAAGCTCTGAACTAGGCTCCCTGCTTTCGTCTCCATGCAGCTCGTCCAGCCAGAAATAACAATAGTAAAAATGATCATTTGTTGAACACCTCTTGTGTTCCAGAGACATTATTTATAAGATCTCTAATCTCATCACAACCCCTAAAGAGTAATTTTTATCACTATTTGCAGGAGGACACAGTAGAAGGGAAGCTAAGAAAGTTGCTTAAGGTATGCACTTAAAAGCAGAACTGAGATTCAAACCCATACTGCAAAACCTCACGTCCCCTCATTTTGACCTGAGCTCAGTTCTGCTCCCAAAGACCCATCTCTTCAGAGACCACTGCCACCAGAGACCCCCTACTGCTGCCCCTTCTGACACCCATTCACACAGTGGGGGAGGGGTCTGAGGAGGGGAAAAGCTGGACTTAGAACCTGGGTCCCTACAAGGGCCAGTTGGGTCCAGGAGACCTGTGGGCCTTTCTGCAGTCCAGCTCCAGTGATCTGGGGTTGGGGGTGGGTGGAAGGCAGAAGTAATTGTCCCTAGAATCCTCAACTTCCATTCTGGAGACCATATCACTTCTTACAGAGACCCTGTCTTTTCTCCCAAGGGACTCCAGACCTCACTTCAGTATGTACAAGTCCATCCTGCCTCCCAAGGTGCTGATGACCAAAGGGACAGGGTGAGACTTGATTGTGGGGCAACATCTGTCACCAATACTGACTTTCATAGGTGTTCATCCTGTTCAGAGAGACTTCATCTACCCAGATGGCAGAGAAAATGTCAAAACTAAATCTAGACCAGGAACCAACCTGTGTCTTCAGCCTCTCAGGCTAGGGATCCAAGATCTCAACCTTGCAGGGAAAAATAGGGGCTGAAGGAAGGGAGGAGAGGCAACGAAGGACAGGAACCATGGTCTTTGGATGAAGTAGTCCAGCGTGGAATGTTGAGAAGGGGACAGGCATGAGGTATGACCACAGACCAAGAGCGAGGATGGCACCTAGAGACTTGTGACCATGACTGCATCTGAAAAACATGTAGCAAAAAACGGGAAGGAAGGAAGAAAGGATTTAGTAGCGTCTTTCCCTATTCAGTCCCAGGAATGTGCATGCGTGTGCGTGCGTGTGTGTGTGTGTGTGTGTGTGTGTGTGTGTTTGGGGTGGGGGGTTTCTGTGACCTTTTCCAGGTCCTTGGCCCCCTCCTTGTTTGAAACCCCTGGACCGAACCAAACCTGAAGCTGGTCATAGCAGCTGGGCTGTCAATGACCCAGGTAGCTGGGACAAGTCTTCATGGGACAGTGGTGTTGGGACTCCTGCCTCCGCTCCCCCTCCACCACTCCCCGTGAGTCATCTAAGCCAGGACAAGCCCTGGAGCCCAGGCTCTTCTCCTCTCCTGGGGAGAAGATATGTCTGGGGCCCAGCCTGTGTAGAGAGAGGATTAGAGAACATGAGGGACCCTGGCGTGGGGAAGGGAGGAGTGGGAGAAAGGGAGGGGTGACTCCACCTGAGCTAGCCTCCCAATTCCGCCCCAAGACCGGTGTGTCCCTGCCACTGGAGCCTCTATCTCTGCTCCCCAACTCCACGCCAATCCTCACCTCATTATTCCCCTCAGGCTCCATCTCTATCCACCAGCCCGTCCCTCCCCCAGGAGCTCTCAAACCACCCTCGTTATCTGCAACTGAATCCCAGACCTGACCCTTCCCAGTCTCTAAAGGCGCTCATCACTGCCCTCCAAGAACCTGTTTCTACCCCCAGCCTCCCAGACCCCATTCCCAGCCATTCCCAGCCCTGCTTAAGGTGCTTTGCACTGAGTGCAGAGGTAAGACTTGATCTTCATTCACATTTCCTTACTCTAAGTGGACTTATATAGTTGTTTCCCATTTTAGGAAGAATCTAGTCATTCAGAAGGCTGAGGAAATAACTGAAATATACCCTAGGAGGTAACCAGCCTATGTCTCCAGCCTCGTTCCCTCTGTCCTTAGCTGCCTGCACACTTTGAATAGTCCTAGGTGACAGGACCTGAGCTTTTGAGAAAAACAACAGAGAATCTCCAAGCCCAACAGAACATTCAAGCCTGTCTACTCCTCACACATACACACATAAACAGAGTTACACATACATGTATATAATTTATTTACATGCACATCTCAGAATAGAAGCATAAGGAGAGGAACAATGTGTTTTTCTGTGATGTTCTTCCGGCCCTATGCAACAGAGCTGGCACATAAGAAATATTTGCTGAAAGGATGGCACATAATAGAATAAGTACTTGCAAATAAATGTATACATACAACTATATATACATATAATAATACATCCATATATAATGCTATGTACACACATACATATAGGCACCTATATGGTTATCCACATACATGTGTATACACTTAGATATCTTACACACATAACATAAATTGTTATGTACACACATTCATGTATACATACACCTCATAGGTAGTGCATATAGGTATATATATTAACATATCACTATTATGAATATATGATATACAGGGCCCAACAGAAGTAAGGCTTGCTTGAGTGTGGTTGGCAGGGTACATGAATGTCTCACATGAGATGGACAGCAATTTGAACATTTCACCTAACATGCCATATGGTGTACTTGAGCGTGATATTGTTATATTATAGAATTACATGCTTCTGATTTTGTAATAAAAGATTTTGTAATAAAAAGGGGCGTTATTTGTGCCGGACCCTGTATATTACATGTAGATATCACACAAAGATATCACATACATACCACACATACATGTACACCTTCACCTACATAAACGAATACAAAGAGAAGCACCTCTTCACTCAAAATTTCCCAGCCAACTTAATTGTCTTAAGGTCCCTAGCCTCGACCTGGCTGCCATAACCCGAAATAGCCACCAGATAGCACTCTTTCGCCACTTCCTGTACTCCCAAGTGTCGCCAGAGGTGTCGCCTCTTTCGTGGGAGGCACAGAACTTTCGGAGCCAGTGTACCGCACGAGCTTTCCCCTCTCTCCCCTACCCAGCAGAGCGGTGGGCGTGTCTTTGGTCCCTAAAGTCTGCAGTCCCGGTCCTCTCCGAAATCCAGTTCATACTCTCGAGCCTCCAGGCTTCTGTGGAAGGGGCAGACGCCCCGTTGGGGCCCCAATTCTGCTCAGCCCGAGCTCAAATCCATACCCGTTCACCAGCGAGCCACAGCGTGAGCTTCGCCAGGACTCCGTAGGTTCAGACCAGGCTCAAGGGCCCTTCCTTCCCGGGCCTTCATAGTAACGAGTGACCAGACTCAGTGGCCCTCATCCCCACAACGGTCATTTGCCCACACATGACATCCGCACACCTATACACACGGTCCCCCTTCGGCTACTCTCTACGCACTGTCCTGAACGCATGGCTTGGGTCAGGCAAAAGCTGGGGAGAGAATGACCAAACCAGGGACCTGGGACCTTCGGCTTGGAAGGGGCTAGTCCTCGTTAACACTTTCTGCGCCGGTCCGGTCTTGACTCCAGATCTCTGGTTTGGAGCCGGAAGGAAATGTATTCGTTCATTTTAAGCAAACTACTCAAAATCCCGGAGGTGGGGGAAGTGGGGTGGGACACAGGCTCTCCTCCCCCCCCCCCGCCCCCAGGCCCTGGCCACTCGGAATCATCTTTCCCGGAACCTCACACGTCGGGTGTGAGCAACCTAGGACGAAAAATGCGGGGAAGTCTTGGAAACCCGCGGGGAAGAGAAGCGGGGGTTCTGGCAGCAGTTCGGCTTCCCGCTCCTCCTCCCCTCTCTTCCCTCGGGAGCAGCGGGAAATTATTTATTAAAACGCCGCCCGCGCTCTCATTTATTTGTGGCGAATAATCCTCAGCATCGCAGCGCGTTTATTAAACCTTTCCCGTCCCCGCATTACTTTAATAATAAATCGCGTGTCACTTTCCAGCGACATTATTAAAGCGCGTCCGCTGGAGCAGAGGCAGCGGCGGTGGGGGTGTAGAGGGCACAAGCAGGGGTTTCTCCAGTTCCAGGCTGTGGAGCCTGAACTAGTAGGAACGCGGAAGGGGAAACTGAGGCTGTAAGGAAGCTAAACTCGAACTTGCTACGAAAGCGATGGAAGAGTACGGGTTCCCCCGGGGAGTGTGTGACCCTCTAGGGTCGGGAGGAGGTTCTGGTCTGCCGGTGGGCGCAGTAGGATCGACGGGCCCGCCAGGGGGCGCCTTGGAGCCCTGCTATTCGGGAGTCCCCCGACCCCACCCCCACGACCCCTCACCACCCGCCACCCCCGCCCTCCAAAGAACAAGGCAGGGGTGGATTCCGGGGCCGCTGAGGGACCTAGACCCCTCTCCTCTTTCAGAGCCGAGCACACCTCCTCCAGGTCTGGACAGGGAACAAACAGCACGAGGCCCCCGCCACACCGCTCACATCCCTACTCCTGCTTCCGTGGTCGCCTTGGAATTCGCCCCAAGTACGTTGAGCACAGCTCCTGGAGCCGCGGGGCTCCAGCCAGGCAATGAGAGCAGTCCTCTGGTTTAACCGCCGGAGGAGCCAGGCTGTTCCGCGAGAGGGGCGGCCAAGCCCTGGGGTTGGGGTTCCAGACCACGCCCCTCTCAAGAGGCCAAGCTCCTGCGTTGGGCCCCAGAGGACAAGCTCAGACACCGAACCAACTGCGATCTTTCCTGTGGTGGCGCCAGGCTTCGGGCGTAGCCCAGGCGCGCAGAAGGCCGTCGCCATCCTACGTGGCTTCAGAATTTAAGCTTTCATCTTCTTCAATCAGTCAGTAAACACTGCGCCTTACCAGTGTCCCTTGGCTAGGTAAGGAGAGTGTAGAGAGAGATTTGGACAGCGAGAGCCCAGCTCCGTGAGGGATCCTCAGCCAGAAAGGACAGGTGACAGGTGAGGCAGTTGAAGAAACCAATTTACCATGACTCTGGGTTCTGCAGGGAAAGGATGGATTCCTAAGGGAATCCTAAGGTGTAGCCCATGCACGTAGCAAAACTTCTCCCCTCCTCCCTACCCCCTTCCCCCGTTTATGCTTTCATCCTGGGTCCTACTCACATAGACCCAATTCTCCGCTCTGTTTGGAGAGGAAACCAGAGTGAGAGAGAGGAGCAGGCAATCTATCTCTAGACCAGCCCCAGTGGAGTGCTGACTGGAGAGGGATAGCCTCCCTCCACCCAGATGGCTCCAGCCTTCCTCCCTAGAGGGCAGGATAGGCCCCAGCTCAAGCATCCTCTCCGTACATCTGGCAGGCATGTGCTTAGAGAGCAGAACACACTGCTTCTGGAAGCCAGAGTCTCACTACCATGAAATGCGGTCTTCATGCGCACATCTGCATGAACCATCTCTGCATCTGTGTGTCTCAGTTTGTTCATAAATCTTTATTGTGTGTTTATTGTGCCTAGCCCTGTGCTAGGCATTGTCCAATACAAAGTGGTATAAGATATGGAGTTTCCAAAATGACAGGAGAAATTAGACATGACCAAACGCCCATCTTACTGCACTGAACTAACCCATGATCCATTGTGCTCTCCTTAATAGCAGATGCAAGCAGTAAAGAGAACTGCAGTTAGTAAGTGCAACTGGGACTTAGGAGACAGGGAAATTTTTGGAAGGTTAGTTTTGAGAAAGGGCAAACTGAAGCAAGGCAAAGATTGGGGACTAGGAAAATAACAGCAGAAGCTATGCAGAAGGGCAGTTAGGAAGACTGGCTGAGCGGGCTGAAGAAAGGGCAGCTGGAAAGCAAAGGAGGAACCTGTTGTCTGCTCCACTCCACCTCACCCCACCCTCCTCTCAGCCTAGGGACCAGAAGGCAGCTGCTGCCTTCTTCCTAGTTGGTCCGTGCATCTCCTGCAAGGGACCCCTCTGCATCCCACTGCCCCTGTAGCCCAGTCTCTGCCTCCTTCCTTACCCTCCTCCAATTTTTGTCTCCCCTCCATGTGCCCCCTACTAAAGGCATCAAAGAAATCTGTTAAGGGGCCTTGTTTCCCCTTTCCAGATCTTTCAAGAGCAGGGATGAAAACTATCCCCACTCACCCACCCCCATGGGCCAGGGCTCCGGACCTAGTAGTAATCTTCACCCTCTTCACTCTCAGCCTCTTCCTCAGGAACCAGGAGCAGAGATGGTAGCTGGGGGATGCCTGTAGAATTCAGCTGGTCTGCAAACACATATGGGCAAAGGAGAGGTCAGAAAAGAGGGGCTATCAGCGCCCGCATATCCCAGTCCATGGGAAAGCCACACTAGCATGTGCACTCAGGTGCACATACACACATGGATACACACCAAAGGGCCCAAATCCACCACCATCCTCTCCTGCCCCCAGAACTCAGGGCTCCCCCTTACCGGGTGTGAGTACGGTTAGGCTAGCTGGGGCCTCCACCTGTCCTAGGGCATTGCGGGCCAGGCAGCGGTAGGTGCCCTCATCACTGGGACGCACAGCCTGAATCTGCAGCCAGCTAGTCACCTCAAACCTCTGGGGTCCACCCCTAAACTGTAACCAGAGGAGGAGTCAGCAGAGTGGACTCCTAGGTGGGCTCTGCACTGTCGCAGGGAAGCTCTGCTTCCTTCCCCTACCTGCACAGAGATGTGGGGGTCATCTCCAGGCAGCTGAATGTCCAAGCCGTCCTTCCTCCACTCGACGGAGGCCATGGGGTAGGCAAACACCTCACAGCCAAAGATCACATCCTTTCCCGTCACGTTCCAAATATCAAATGGGTGCAACACGATCTGGGGTTCTGGGGGGTGGAGGTGGGAAGCCTGAGAACAGGATGGTACATCCAGCCCAGCAAGGACTCCCATATATGAACCACTGTGAATATGTTCGTGGGTAAATACACCTCCATGAACACGACCTCCATTAACACGACATGTACACCAATGTGGATGCAGGTACACACAAGAGTGCAAATGCAGAATGGAGAAGTACATGAAGACATGAGGCACAAACAAACACACAGACCCACACCTCACCTTGGCAGGCACACTCTGTCCCAGAAAGCTCCGCTGTCCTCATTCCACCTTCTAGGCCCCTATCCCCTGTATTTGTAACTGACACCTCCCTCCTCCACCCTCCCCTTTTTCTAACCAGGTCCAGTTGCCAAAGGCCCAAAAAGCTGCCCCTCCCCCACCTCACTCTGGGGTTGGGACGCGTCCCAAAAGGCAAAGAGAGAGAACCTGAAACCAAATTGGAGTTCTGGGAGAAAGAGTTGGGACCCCCGGCAGGGTGTTTGTTTTCCTGGCAGCCTCAGCCCAGCAAGACCCGTCAAAGGGGCTCAGGAAGTGAAAGTTACTAAAGCCGCCAAATAAAACTTGAGGTTTGAATGGCCCTGAGCTCCCTGGAATGGGGGGAGGAGTTAGAAGAGCCCCCTTCCCCACTAATCCCTGAGCGCAGAAGAAGGGGGTTGGGTGGCGAGACTGTGTTAACAGCTTGCAGTACAAAGCAGCCCAAATGGAACTTGATTGCATCTCAAAGGAACCCAAGTCTCCCTGCCTGGGCTCCAGCGGTCTGGGGCAAAGTCTGGGAGTCTCTTCATTTTCTCAGTTTTGAGGCCAACAATTGGCTAAGCGACTGCTCTCTCAGAGTTGGTCCCTGCCAGCGGGTCTGGAGCTTTTCCAGACCCCAACCTTCGGGCGTCGGCCCCAGCGGAAGAGCAGCTAAAACGGGCTCTTAATACTGCACTCCAGGCCTCATCTTTTTCTCTCCGCTGGCCAAGAGCTAATGCCGTCGGGGGCCAGGGGCAGCAATGCCTCAAGAGAGTCCTTCAAGAGCTGTGGGTAGGAAACCCGTACCCGATTCGCAGGGCCCTGGGTGTGCCACAGTGAGGTTGGCGTCCGGCCGAGCTCGGGCCGCTTCCTGCAGACGGCAGATCTGCGAGTAGGTGCGGCCGTCGCTACCGCAGAGCGGGCGCTGTGAGCTGCAGACACACAGCGGCTCCGGCACCTCTCCGCGGCTCAGGTCGCCACCTGCGTCCAAGCGGCACTCAAGCTGCTCACCGCAGCGCCCATAGAAGTGGGCACTGGGGTCCAGGTCGCAGAGCTGGCCTTCGAGGTTGGCGCATTCCCAGCAGCAGCCGCAAGCATCGCGCACCTGGCCAGCCAGGCAACCTCGCGGCGCGGCGCACTCCTCCGGCTGGCAGGGAGCACAGCTCTCGCCCTCCGCCAGCAGCCGCAGCCAGCCGCGCCGCAGGTAATCCGGGCCTGGGGATGGCCGCGCGCCGGTCGAGTGCGGCTCCCGCACCACCAGCAGTAGCAGTAGCAGGGGCAGCGCCAAGGTAGCTGCGGGCGGCTGTGGCATGGTTAGCTGGAAGCCCTGTGAGCCCTCTGGGCATCAGCGGGTTCGTGCACCCTGCCAGGGAGGGAAGCCAGGTCAGGAGGTCAGAAGCAACCTCACTGTTACTTGTACCAAAGTTTGACTCTAGCACTGTCCCCTCCCCTGCTACCTTGGAGTCAAGTAGACCCTCAACGCTGAGGTATGGGGATCATCCAGTTATGCTGGGTGGTAACTGACTGGGTTGTTCTTGGGGAGTCAGGAAGAGGTAAGAGGAGGGGGCGATAAAGGTCAGGCACGCGCGCGCGAGCACTTGCACACGCGCGCCCCCCACCCCCCATACACCAGCACTACTGCTACACACCATCAGCTCTCAAGAGGTTTCCTGCCCTTGAGGTAGATGGGAAGGGATGACCCACGACAAGTAAAGAGTTGTTAATAAGGGTGGGAAGGGAGAGGGGTGATGCCCTGGGGTCCGGAGCGCTCACCTAGTGTCCGGGACTAAGCCCTTCAGAGCAATCGTGACTCCAGTCCGAAAAAGTAGGCAGTGGAAAGAAAGCAGAGAACAATCGGCTGGGCCCGCAAGCCACCTCTGCTCCGGCTTGAAGATCTCTGAGAGCCCACGGGCTTGGACTCAGAGAGCAGCTCCTCCGCCCCTCTCCCCGCCCCTAGACGTAGCACCCCCTCCCCCGACACCCCTATCCTCTAGTTCTGAAGCTGCCAATTTTATGCGGCTGCAGGGGACCCTCCTGGGCCACTTCCCTCAGCCTGGGCCAAAGTCGCAGTGAGAATAGAGGAGCCGTAACCGGACACCGAAGCTGGGAGAGGACCAGAGACGGGGTGGGGTGGGGTGGGGGCTGAAAGTAGGGGGTAAAGGGGTGGTTGTGAAGCTCGAATTGTTGGCTGACCAGCTATGCCCTGTCCCATCTGACTTTACAGTCCCTGGGGTAGGATCTCTGGTGCCAAGTCGGGAGCTCCTGTGGGGTAGGGCCACGCAACTTTGTCTCCTCGCAGCCCCAAACCGGCTTCCTGGGGGGTGATTGCAGGCTTGTACACCAAGCTTCCCCACCAAGGCGCCGACCCGAGACTGGGCGCTTACATCAGCCTCCCCACATCTGGCCTCCTCCTCCCTCCCCACATCCGGCAGGTGCTTTAACCGCGGCTGAGCGGGGTGATTAAAGGTCCCAGCCGACGAGTGGCCACAGCAAAAGGTGGGCGGGGCGCCTCCGGGGTCCGGATTACAGGTTATGGTTACGAGGTTTGCGAGGTTTGCAAGGCCGGAGACGCACGGTCTCGCGGCCGCCACCAGCGCCACCGTGGCACTTTGAGCTGGGGACGGGGAGGAAATTTCTGTTAGTCCGCCTGCCTCACCGGGGGTCTGCCAGGCCGCGCCCCGCCCCTCCGGCCCCAAGCGGTTTACAGAAGCCGCGCTGAAGTTTCTAGGGGGCGGAAACTGAGATTTGCAGCGGGGGAGGAGACTGTATTTAGTCGACCTCGGTCCAGGAGGGCCTGATCAGGGACGGAGCAACTTGAGCGGGGCTTTCTGACCAACCCCCAAATTCAGAGCTGGTCCTGGGCCTGGAGACCGCCCAGGGGGATCGGCTCCGCATGCGTACAGGAGGCCCGGACGACCGTTCCCGCGTGCGGTCCGGGACTCTCGCTCCGGGCCTGACCTTGTCTAACCCCTTTGATTTAGGAGTTCCCTAGCAGCGTACAGGCCTGCTTCTGGCCGGAAGGGCCTGATGAGGTGGGCGAAGACCTGTACACTGTCACCTGGTCTCTCAAACTCAGAAGAGGGACAGGCAACAAAGTTCACGCGTTGACTCGCAATTGTCGCGAGAATTAGAACAGGAAGTCTAGGAATCCAGAACAGGAAAAGCCCGCTGGTTTTAAACTGGAAAAAGAATGGGCGGAGCCAGCTGTGCCTGGTAGTCGCCAGCGATCCCTTATTTTTGGCCTTAGGGCAACTGAAGTGTCGACCTGGGGCAGAAGTGAACTGTAAGAGAACTGCAGGAAGGCCTGGGTGGGGGTCGGGCAAAGAAATGGGAGGGTTGAGAGAGGCTTGAAATTGCGGAGGTGAGCCACTCACCCAAGGAGAGACCTCTGGCTCTGACTTAGAAAATTCTTTGAGGGCGGAGATCTTTGCCCGTGATACAGAGCGGAAGCAATCCGGTCTCGTATTCCACTTCTAAGGCTTGGCGCCAGTATTTTAAACAACAAACTTCACAGACCTATTCTTACCCTCTTTGTTATAGCCGGTTGTACTTTCAGTCTTTGCTATGACCCAAGCGTCTGGTATTAGGAATTGTGTCTAACTCACCACTGCATCTTGCAAACCTACCCCCGCGCCTGACAGAACAGAAAATTAATGGTAAATATTTGTGGATTAAAGGTGAACGATTTCCTGAGTGTGAAAATCGTTTAACCTGGATTTCCTGTGTCGCTGATGAAGACTGGTTAGACAGGGAACGAACGCCCCCTGGTGGGCCTGCGGGAGGCACGGAAAACTCGTGCATGCAGAGACACCAAAGATGTTGACTATGCAGGAACTCTGCTTTTATTAAGAGGTTTTGTTCCAGGAAAACACCACATATTGTGAAAATAGTTTTAGGAGGGGATTGTTTGCCTAAGACACAATTTGGAAGTTTTGATACGTTCCCAGATCCTCATTATCTGACACTATCCAATAAAGCTCCAAAACACATTTAATAACATATACTTGCATCATAAATTTACTAAATATTTTGAGTATTCATACTTTAAAAATGTTGAATCCGTTTAACCAGGTTCTCTAATTTGGATGATGCGAGTACTGCACGGAGAGAAACTAGGTGGCTGTATCCTTTGTGTACTTACCTGAGGGAGACTAGATTCAGATGAAGAGGGAGAAGTTAAAATTTGCTGAAGAACAGATGGTCCTGTCTCTTTCCCCTCTCCACTCTTTCCTGTAGATGCTTGTACTGAAGAAGGGATGAGGTATAGAGTGTAGTTTGCTTTCCAATGTGACTCGTAGCCTGGAGTTCACAGGTTTTCACTTTCAGCTACTGACCATGAAATAACTGAAATATAATGACAGATGGAAATGGGTCCTATACAAACGAACAACATAAAATGAAACAAGGCATGAAGGGTCAGTATGTAGTTGGTAAGAAGTTACTTGAGAGGACCCACACATTCTAACCTGTCACTTCATGAGCCCTGTTTTGATATAGCCAGTGAAAATAGTGGGCTTGCAACTTTAAGGAAGAAGCAGAAGTGAAACAAATGGTCTATGTTGACCCATTAGAGATGGATACAGAGGAATCGTGCTTCCTCTGAACATTAGAATCAGTTAAGTCAAAAAAAAAAAAGGCTCAACTAGATAATTAAGACAGAATACCTTGTAGCTGCCTACTATGACAAATAGGTGAATTGAGTCAAAGGGAAAAAATATATGTAGAAAAATAAGATTAAGTGAAAAAAAAAGAAGTATATGGATACTAATCACAACCAGGTAAATATCATATATCTCATCAATAAACACCCTAAGTAAATGTGGAATGAGGCAAATGGCAGAGTATAATACTATTATTTTGTAAAATTATTTTTCATAATAAAGTAGAAGATATTTTATAGATAGATTAGAATGTTGAGATAAATGTAAAAAGTTGAGACAGCCAGGTGGGAAGATAAGCATTATAATTCAGCTGTATGTTACCAAATGAGAGCTGAAATACCCAGAAGACTAGCTCTTTGGGATACCTAGGCATTAAGGCAAGTTGAATGAGCTTTAAAACATGCAGAAAGAAATCAGGAGAAAATTTTCTCTGTTTGCTTCTCTTATATCCAAGGAGGCAACTCCCCCCAATCCCCTACCCAGTTTCCTATCCACCTTTGAGATGGAAACTATAACTCCATCTGACCTGATGACTTGGTCACAATTCTTTTAGAGAATTTTTATGGGTTTATTTTTTAATTATATTTTATTGATTATGTTATTACCTTCATTCCAATTTTCCCCTTTTGCCCCCCTCAACTCAGCCCCCCCCCCAAGCAATCCCTACACCATTGGTCATGCATATAAGTTCTTTGGCTACTCCAGTTCCTATACTGTACTTTACATCCCCATAGCTATTCTATAACTACCTATTTGTACTTCTCAATCCCCTCACCTCTTCACCCATTTCCCCACACTCCTCTCTCATCTGGCAACCATCAAAATGCTCTCTGTATCCATGATTCTGTCTCTCTTCATGTTTGCTTAGTTTGCTTTCTAGATTCAATTGTTGATATGTATTTATTGCCATTTTATTGTTCATAGTTTTGATCTTTTTCTTAAGTCCCTTTAACATTTCATATAATAATGGTTTGGTGATGATGAACTCCTTTAGTTTTTTCTTGTCTGGGAAGCTCTTTATCTGCCCTTCAATTCTAAATGATAGCTTTGCTGGGTAGAGCAATCTTGGCTGTAGGTCCCCGCTTCTCATGACTTCAAATATTTCTTGCCAATCCCTTCTAGCCTGCAAAGTTTCTTTTGAGAAATCAGCTGACAGTCTTATGAGAACTCCCCTATAGGTAACTAATTGCTTTTCTCTTGCTGCTTTTAAGATTCTCTCTTTATCTTTAACCTTTGGCATTTTAACTATGATGTGTCTTGGAGTGGGCCTTTTTGCATCCATCTTGTTTGGGACTGTCTGTGCTTCCTGGACTTGCATGTCTATTTCCTTCACCAAATTAGAGAAGTTTTCTTTCATTATTTTTTCTAATAGATTTCCAATTTCTTGTTCTTTCTTTTCTCCTTCTGGCACCCCTATTATGCTAATAATGGAATGCTTGAAGTTGTCTCAGAGGCTGCTTACACTATCCTGATTTTTTTTTTATTCATTTTTTCTCCTTGTTGTTCTAATTTGTTGTTTTTTGCTTCCTTAAGTTCCAAATCATTGATTTGATTCTCAGCTTCTTCCACTCTACTGTTGTTTACCTGTAACTTGTCCTTTATTTCAGTTAGCATATCCTTTGTTTCTAACTGGATCTTTTTTATGCTGATG